TTCTAAAATATTATGTAAAATAATTCATCATCATCAACTGCAACGTGGATCCTTGGACCCAAGTACAGCAGTTCAAGTTGCCGTACCACATTAGCATTAGAGATGTAACTGTCGGATCAAATTCCATAGTAGTAGTGGTAGTATAAGCATTGGAGTTAATCCGACAGATTACGGTTCGAAAATGTTATTCATGATGTATAATTCAGTGAGTTAAATTTGGGAAGAGATATATAGATAAGCTTAAGTATTCAGAAGATTAGAATTTGAATGAACACGAAGAGTGGATGCATCTGCACCACTGCAAACGGTTTTGAGCCATGTCATTTAAGGTCTCTGTCCATCGATTACTATCATACCGAGTATCCCAACCAGATAATCTACATTAACCAAAATGACCCAATCTAGCTGTCAGTAACTTTATGGATTTGTGTCATGCTTTGGTGTGGCCAACCTTACCTTTTGTTCAAGCTATTCATCTTTTCGCAAAACACTGCTCGAACGGAAAGTAGTGGGTGTTTAGGCATTCGTAATACATCTCCCGACCGCCTCCACTAGAGTTATACTACTTCATCTGTTGACCTGCCATCCATACCTAGCACCCGTTACCTGAAACTAACATTGCTTACTCGACAGTATCACAATATTCGATCAATGTTCCGGACATTGGTATGACAAAAGCTACCTACGAATATCTTCTACTCTCACTGGCCATGTTTTAGCCATAAAGTACTACTGCTCAATACACTAGTCCTTTAGTCAGAAAACGGATATCTCGACTTCGCTATAAGTGACGCAGGTTGGCAAAAGCCAATCGAGCCTTCTGTATCCGTGCTGAGATTTCGTCAGTCAACAGGCCATCAACAGTGATGAGACTCCCGAGATAAGTGAAGCGGTCTACACGTTCGACTACTTCACTCCCTATCACTAGTTCAGGTGCCGGTGCAACCCAGTCTTGAAGCAACATTTTGCATTTCGAGGGGGAAAACCGCATTCCGGACATGCTTGCATTGTTGCTTAAGGTAGTAAGAAGACTGTGCATTTTCTCAGCCTATTCACCGAGTAGACCTATGTCATCAGTATATCGTAGGTCAACAATCGAACCTCTTGGTAGAAGGTCTACTCCAGAAAATTTGGACGGAGATAATGTTATAACTAGAAACATGTCTATGACGAAATTGAAAAAGAATTTAGAGAGTGGATAGCCCCGAAGGACACGACTTGAGGTAAAGAATTCCGAAGACAGTTCGCCATAAACTCTCGCTCTACCTGTAGTGTCCGAGTAGACAGCTTGTAAAGTGGTAATGTTCTTTTTTGGTACACAATTCAATAAAGGACTCTGCCATAGAAACTCACGGTCATCAGAGTCGAATGCCGCCTAAAGGTTCAGAAAGATAACTATTGTAAGGCACCGGAATGTGTGTTTGTTTTGTGGGACCTGTCATAGAGTGAAAATGTGGTCTGTACAGCCACGTCCGGGTCTGAAACCAGTCTGGTTTTCTCTAGTCTGCTCTTCATTAGCTCTATGTAGTCATCTTAGGATGATCGAGGCTAAGAATTCAGAAACAATATTAGTTAGACTTATTCCCCTGTGATTGTCAAAGGAGGACTTTTTCCCTTTCTTATAAATTGGGACAATCAGGTATGGAGACCAGTGAGATGGTATTACATCCAGTTCCAAGATTCTACCCAAGATCTCAGTCAATCTAAGTGTTGAAACTGGACCACCATTCTTACAAATCTCAGAGGTCATTCTATCAGAAACACGATGCTCTCTTTTTCTTCTGATTCCCTACGGCTTTTTCAGCTTCATAAACAGTCGCACAGCAAACATCGATTTGCAATTCAGGTTAACTGGAGAGCAACCGAAGTGTAGCTGAAGGCAAGTTGAACTGGTCCCTTAAGTGTTCTAAACATCGGTGCTATCTCATGGATTGAGAATGGATAATAAGACCATCCTTTTCCGAGATAGTCTCACTCACATTCGGGTTCCTAATACCGGTGTGCTTGATAAGTCTAAATAGTTGCATACTGTTGCCTATTGCTGCTGCCTTTTCTATCGCTTTTGCCTTCGTCATCCACAACTGTTCTCGATCATTACGCAGATTTTTTATCAGCCTGTGCCTAAAAAGACTACGCTCCTCGTCGTACTCAGAACCAAACAAGATGGGTTTCCTAGCGTCTACCAGTTTCGTAGATGCTACTGAAATTCACGGTTTATCCCTCACCTTATGTTTTACTTTACTCACAGTTATCACTGCTGTTTCCACACCCTTTCTGATATCATTCCAAGCTACCTCACGGTGAGCATCGTTTACTATATGGCTGCCTAACTGTTTTCCTAGTTGTTCTTGAAACGTATTCCTAGCTAAGCTATCACTAAGTAGAACCCTAACAGGTTTCCTTGCGATATTTTTCTTTCGTCAAGTAAGGCGCACACAAATGCGCGCTAGCACTAGAGCATGGTGTGAGTCTAAACAAGTGCTCCAAATTGAGCGGCAGTCTTATAGCGATGTGATCCAGTAAGGTCCATCGGTGTGAAGAGTTTGTGGGTCGCCAGGTCAAAAGATGTTTCACCTTATGCCTAAAGTTCGTGTTTGCTAGGAATAGGCGGTTATCTGGGCATAGCTGCAGCAGACGGTCGCCATTATCTGTTCTCTGAGCCGCAACACCATAAGATACACCCAGGTGTCTTTCCGTTCCACTGAGTCTACCTACTTGATAGTTGAAGTCACCAGCCATTATTACTATTTCAGATCTAGAGACGTTTATAGGGGTTTCAATAAAACTTGTTTTTCATATTGTCTGAATAGCAGTCAGTGGGGGCGTAGGCAGATACGATGGAGAGGCAACGGCGAGAGTCCTTATCTTTCCGAGTCCGTACTGTCCCGTTTAGTCGGACAGCGCATAAATGACTGTCTATCAGGATCCACTCTGGGAGAGCTTGTTCTGGACAAGGACTTATTAGTATGCCTACGTCGGCGAGGCCACGTGAAGCAGCATCATACATCAATTGCCCGGGACTCTAGAGTTCTAGCAAATGAAGCTTGTTTCACTATTGCATGGAGTTTGAAAATTAAAAGCTCCAATATTTGATTTAGTACGGTGGTTCAAAAGACCAGGAAAATGTTTCGTGAGCTCATACTGTTTGCTTCAGTGGCGTGAGGTGATAAACAACCTAAAGGAGAGAGAGAGTTATTAAGAGGTATAGAGAGGATTTGATTGCAACCAATTTCGTCTCCTGTGCTTTTATATGTATGAGGGAGGATGTTACTTTCTGGGTGACCACACCGTAGAAATGTGTTTATTGAGGAATTTGAAGAGGAAGATAGGTTAGCGTCGGAGCGTGATCGCAGAGTCCAAGGGACTACTGCTTGAGGCCGGTCACTCACGGCCTTTTGATGAAAGGTTTTTCGAGTATTAGCTCCGCTCTTAAAGGTCCTTAGTGGGCACCCTTACCCAAGGAGACGGAAATCCATGAGGTGGGGTGAGGTGTGACATTTTTAGAGTCGAACTTTTCTAACCCTTCCTTCCTTGTGAGAAGGCAGCATCGCTGCAGATGCTGGTTGTCCGAGGGAAACACCTTACTGCTGTCACACACGTCTGTAGTCAGCTGTACGACTTCACCCTCAGACCTTGAGTAGTTGCTTTTAGTCTCATCGTTCTCCAATCGACCTGCCTGACATGGTAGGACCTGCATGAACATATGTTCCAGCCAGTATAGCTCAGTTGGGTCATCACGATAGGCAAGCCAGACCACCACGTCAAAGTAGCAGCTACGTTCGAGATGCAAAATCTGTAGCAAGTTGAGTAATGTTAGTGTTCATTATTGAATGAACCTAGATAACCACGAATTGAATACGAAATACGTCCCATCCACTTCTCATGAATAGAGTGTGAACAAGTGAGAAAATTTGAAGTACCCGAATTCGGTGGTGTGAATGAAGTTTCTGTCCTCATAAGGTGAATCTTTAGTGTACGGAAATAACGCTGAATCTTTGTTCCAAAATATTATGTACAAAAGCATCGCATGTTGAGTAGTGTAAGTGTTCATTATTGAATGAACCTAGATAACCACGAATTGAATACGAAATACGTTTCATCAAATTCTCATGAATAGAGTGTGAACAAGTGAGAAAATTTGAAGTACCCGAATTCGGTGGTGTGAATGAAGTTCCTGTCCTCATAAGGTGAATCTCATGTTTGTGAATTCCACGTTTACATTCAGTGTATTTCAAACCTATATAAATGCTTTTGATGATATTTGCAATCGCCATAATCCGGAACAATGTTCTACAATATACTCTTCTTCATTGCCTTCTTATCAATATTGAATTTCAAATGTGAGTTTGTGATTTATGATTTTTTGCTTCTCTGTATAATTTGTGTAAAATTAAATGATTCTTTAATACAATAATAATCTATTGACAATTGAATGTTTGCGTTGTATTTGTTTACGATTTTGACCAAATTCTCCATTACTCACTTATTTGTATTCATGATGTTTGCTAGTGTTTTTTGACGATATTTAGTTAGTTATTACACTGAAATTGATCATATTTGAAACAAAATATGAAACATTTTTCATGGATAAACTTATCGAACAAAATAAAAATAAATTTTCGAATCTAAACACGCGATGTTGAAATCAAGAATAACTTAAACAGAATGATGAATTCAAATCCTAATTAATCATGATTATAAAATGAGAAGAATGTTTATTTAAATAAAATCAGTCAGTAAAAATAGAACAAACATTCAGAATTCAATGCAATCAATGTGTCGATAAGTTATATTTTCATTTGACGTGTAAATTATATAGACTTCTCCAAAGAATGTAGATTGAAAATTAGAAAAATTTCAATTTCAAATTCTAAATAAATGAGCATAGTCCAAGAAATAAAATGTAACCTTGACCAGTGAATTGGGTATGATTTGTGCTATTTCATATATTACTATGTCTCATGTCCCGAGTTAAAACGCAACGCTCTCATTTTTTAGATATGTCGGCGAATATTGGAAATGAATATGGAGATGGCGCATACGAAGATGCAAATGATGCAGCTGGATACGAAGCAGTAAACGGAGACGCTGGATATGCAGCACAAAATGAAGGAGCTGCAAACGAAGCAGCAGATAGACCCGCTGAACATGCAGAAACTAATAAAGGAGCTGAACACGAAGAAGCAAATCAAAACGTTGGAGATGAGCTACAAAATAAACACATTGTCGGTGAGTTCCGTTTATTATCATGACTAACTTTCAACATTATATCGAAATTCTTCCATTGTTCAGATATGTCACCAAATATTCATCCTGGCCACCAAGACGCTGGACACGCAACAGAAACTAAACCCAATGTATGTGAGTTCCGTTTTCGAATGTCCAATACACATCACCATGTCTGTCAATAAACGTGATACAGTTCAATGGAAATCACAAACTGTGGCAGTGTGATGTGCTGAATGTTTGAATTGGCGACATTCACTAATGATCAACACATACACTGATCAATATATACACCTTCCTACATTTATGCGTGTCGATAAATGTAAATTTTACACATTTTATGTCGCGTGAATACGAACTCTGGAAATTTATTCGATCTTGTTTTTAATATCTCTTCGTAATTTCCTGCTTTAACTAGGATTTAAACAAATATCATCATCTTGTGAATGAACATAAACATCCGTCTTCATTCAGTTTCTGTATTGTTTCACTGACTGTAGATTTGTCAATTTGTTTTTCATTTATTTACAAGTTCTCTGCATAATTTCGTAATTATTCCTTTACATGTTTACACATACCACTGATTACACTTTGTTTTGTAATTCGGTTTTCTCTTAAAGTTCATGAAATCACTGAATATGATGTTTTCCTGGATGAAGACGAAGATTCTGGTAAGTTGTAAAAGTGATTGGTTTGTATTGCTTGTGTTTAGTTGACTTATTTTTCTTTCGATTCGTTGTTATCGTATTCTCGTTTCTTGCTTCCTCACTTTTACTCTCTTTCTATTTTTATTGATTCGTTATTTCGTCCATTTTTGTTTTCTTTCCCAACCCCCATAGTACATATCGATTGACTTTGGATTTTTACTGTCGCTTTCCAAATTTCCCTCATGAAATCAGCTTAAATTTGTTTTCCTGTTTTAACTAATTGTTCAAGGTTTAATAAGAGCACAAGTCAATAATCGTGAGTCTTTTATTCTTGTTCTGAAATTATTCATATTTCACTTGACCATTTTTAGCGGTTATGAGTTCAAGTGTGATCAGTTAGCCCACTTGTATACACACCATCGAACTCTACGTCTCCTATGATTTGTTAATTACACACAATCTATTCGGCTTAGTTGATAATCCAGTTAAAAATGTCATGTGATTCATTCCAAAATTAAACTGTCAGAATAACTAATAACCTCATATTTGAAGAAAAGATAAACATACTGCGGTGGATTTTCACATTCTCAGAATACTTTCTACTTTTTTCTTTAACATAAATTGTTGTTATCGCATGTGTTTTGTTAAATGATATAAAATTCTTAACAAAAATTAAAATATAATTATTTTAACAGTTCCACCTGCTATAATAAAGCAGACGAAATTATATAGCAAGGCATATTTTGAATGCTTGGATCGAAAGTGTAAGTTATCTAAGCATAATTTCATTCACTTCAAACACATGTTTTGTCGGCAACCATCATCATCTTGATATTGTTCATGAATGGTATGTTTTATGAATTCACTTTACAAATGATTTTGATCTAAGTGTGAAGTAGACTGTACTAGTGTCTTGATATGCAGTATTGCGTTTCATTCATTCTGTTTAATGTGTGAAAAGTATACTTTCTTTGTATCCTGTAGAATAAAATATGGATAGTCTTGTCAACCATTGTTTCTGAAATGAATTGTTTCACAGGTGTTTGCTACTTTAACAATATGGACTAGCATTTAACTCAATGCACAGGCTGTTTCTTTATGTGTTGAAATAAGTTGGCGCCTTAATCATATCAAGTGTTGTGTGTTTTCAGTTAAAACAATGGTTAGCATGTATGCCTAATACTTTAATACGTTTCGATAACAAGAAATTTCTGGCATAATTTTCTGTTTCAGTTCTGTCATATGAAAAAAATACTCGTGGCGATATAACGGAAGGAAGAAACCGATATCATCAAGGTAATATTCAATTCAAATTTGAAAATGAACATTGATTTACACAATATTCGAATTATACACATCATCATGCATTTAAATCCTGTAATCATTTTTCTGAAAACATTAACGTATGCCTAATATTTGTGGAATTGACTTTGGTTTCACATCTGTGTCAATTTGTGTCAACTGAGTGAACGAATTCGTGTTAAACCAGAGTCTCATTCACTTATATTCAGAGATTTTTGTACTATCCCTTTGCATGGTGCACAGTCAATGAATGTACTACTGATGCTTTTTATTTTCATTCTTTGTAGAATGTTTGAGATTAGAAAAGTTATACTTCACAAAATGGGCCAAACATTATTTATCAGGTAAGTTCTAGGTTGATAGTTTGTTTGCCGAAAACAAACAATCGAAATCACATAAAGGAGAGAAGCGTGATCAGTAGATTTTTTCTAAAAATGCATGTCCATCATCTGTTTCCTTATCGCTGTTTAGCAAACAATTCATTTGTCTTGTAGGAAACGATGTACCCGATAGTGATCTATTGACGCGCTATACAGGTATGTTAGATTGTATAGAAAAAAAATCCAACTGTCTGTTGATTGTCAGTTGAAATTTTGGTTTTGTAGAAAATGAGGTCTGCGAATTGTTTCTGTTTTGTTGTTTAAATACGATTCGAATGATGTTCTTTAAGCACATATTAGATGAAAACATGTATTTGGCGAAGAAAACAGAGTCTTTAATCCAGAAACATCTGTGTACATCTGTACATGTGTTTATCGCCTGATGAATTTTCATTTAATCATAGTTTCTACAAAATAAGCAATGATTAACGATCATGATCATGAAACTCAAGGTGGCCTCCTTTCATGAACTAATTATCCAACTGGCAAAGTTACCGTGACTTCCATTACCCTTTATATTTTACTGCTAAGCTACTTAAGAGAGACAATTGTTCTCTTACTGCAATGCTACATGTTAACCGATAACTTATCAACGTTTAAGTAACTTCTCAACAGTAAATTGCACAGAAAAGTCACAAATTGGCAGTGAACTCAAAACCTACTTATACACATCAAATAAAATTCAGTGAAATCACTGTTTATTTGAAAAAGAAAGAAAAAAACATTCATCAAGTTGACTTGTGGCGGTTTTATTAAAATCAATCACTTCCAACTAGCTATCATAGAACTTTCTTATTGAAGTTTCGATTTTCTTTTCCCCGCCCAAATGAAAACAAACAAACAGAGGAACATGAAAAAGCTATCAGAACGAATGAAACCATCAGTTCAACACCAGACTGTAATCATTAATTTTATTCGTTTTTTTAATTAAAAAGAAAAACATTTCTCTATTTTGTTTTTATTCATTGAAGGTTGTTTTCATTCTGTAAAAAATATCTATCATAAATAACTAAAGAAATCATTCATACACATTCATCTCATGTCATTTTGTATCATATACGTCAAGGCAATAATCTTTTTCATTGATCCCGATAGTGTTTTGTCAAAGCCAATGATAAAAGGCAATAAAGACAAAAATTAATCAAATGTGGTTATAACTATAATATCGAGAGCGATTAGAATTCTGCAATAATGTACCGACATATTCGACACTATTGGGTTTTCTTAAACATGACTGGGAACAATTTACCAGTCACTTGAGATTGCTTTACTTAAGAAGTTTATCTTTAAGATTAATACTTGCAATGCAAAATTGGTCACATTTTACTCGAACAGCCTACTTTTAAATAATCATCTAAGTCATGACAATATGGCTGATGTCGAATGAATATGCTCATTACTGGAATGATTTCTTACCAGTATCATGAATGAATAAATAACTTGTTGTATTCACAGATCATGGAGGATTACAACGATTGATATCACAGAAGTGGAAACAAAGAGAACTTCTTGACGATATCATAGGTAATGTCACAAACTTCACTGTAAAACATGCAAACTGATTGTTTTACTGTTTCCTAAGTGTATCATAAACAAGTTATTTATATCATTCTCAGGTGCTCACATTTCACAATTACATACCGATGACACGGAAAGTGAGTTTCAACTTACGCCAAATTAGGATTTTTGATCGCTTTTCAAAATTATCTAATATGTCATTGTGTAAATCAACAATATTTATATAGACCTAGTGCTTATCTATTTAATTACTACATATTTCTAGTTTAACACTAACTAAATAACATGTCAACTTCTGAAAAAATTAAACTAAACTATAATTGAAATATCAAGTGAAATGTGAATTATTGTTTCTTTTTAATTCTAGAATCCATTGCATTATTTAAGAAAAAATTACAAGATAAAGAAAGTGAGATTAAAGCGCAAATTGGTAAGTTCATCATTTCATTGTGTTATCAGTTTCGTGCTGTTGTTGATGATGAGGATGCTGATGGTGATGATGACTGTTACCACAGACTTTTAATCATTTTGCCATTAAAACTTTCATGACAGAAATACCTATAAAACATAGAACGATGAATTTCTTATGAACGATCGTTTAGATTAAATAGAAATATTCAGTGTGTGTTTGACTAACTCCAATTAATTTCCTTTTCCCTTGTTTTATTTAAAGGGGAAGTGAAGCTGTTGGAATGGAACGCAGTACTAGCAGCACATGAACATATGAAAGATCAAGGTGAAAAACCAAAGAAGTTTTTTATTTGAAATTAATCATCACCAGTGAATTAGTCGAATATTTTATAGGATGAATTTATTTTCAAATGAAACTTCAGCTTTATCCAATAGAGGCTTGCCGAAAACCTTAAGTTGAAAGCTTCCTGCTTTCTTATTGTAAAGTCGAATGTTCAGAGACTGCATAACTAACAAACAAGCAAACAAACATAAGTTTACGCTTTTCAACATACCATTGTACAACAGGTCATTATTCATACAAAGTAATGAACATGAATTCAATCTGAACTATCAACAAACATGAATAAGGAAAGCGGCTGTTGAAAAGGCATTTACATAACAACAAATCGTCATCATTCGGCATTACATTCATATATATATAGATATGATGTTTCAGTGCAGCATGAAAGGCGCAAGATTTGTTTGGATAATTCTAAAATGGTCAATAGTTGTCTGTCAATAGATGGCAATTCGACATTAACGAACATTCGCTATGATTGCCATGTTGAATTAGTGCTAAATGATGAAAAGAGGTAGAAAAAGTCACATTGTTTCCACATTAAATCATTAAAAAGTTGTTTGTTTTTTTCGACGAATAGTAAGTAATTTGGGTTGTAAGGTAGTGTGAAGTAACATGAACATTTGATCGAAATAACCATATATTGTTTAACGTTTAAAATATAAAACGTGGCATTTCATGTCAAATTATAATCCGATCATGATTTAATCTTATTGATATTAGCTAATAAAGAACTTAATGAGAAACAAAAAAGCGAACGAAAAAAACTGATCGAAGCTTTAGGTAATTATGTTTACAAATTATGAATCAATTTAATTGATATCATTAATAACTCATATATATATATATATATATATATATATATATATATATATATATATATATATGAGAGGTCCACCAGTAGAACCTTCGAGGCTAATTCCGGTCCCAAGCCCGGGTAATGGAGGAGGGTTGGGCATAGTGTTGACGACCTCATTCTCACAAAACACTAACTTGCCAAATAAACGCTAACCAGAGAAAAATATAAAATAAACATATATGTGAGCGCATTGTTCCGTAAAATGTCGTTGGTTTCTTTTTATACTCAATGCAAGTAGATTTAATCTGTGCAATGAATATTTTTGCTTTTGACAGATATTTTGAGAACATTAATGAAAGAATCGGAATATTTAAGAATTTTACTCATCAAAGGTATGTTATTATTTTCAAGCTGATAATTTTCTTTTTCTTAGTTTCATCTAAAAATGAACAAATACAGGTGGTTTTGAGAGCGATGGAGAAAGATTCAAACCATTGCACTTGTAAGTCCGCGAAATTTTTAAACATTATTCTCATATTCTTCTCTTTTACAATACAAATGTGTAATCTAAAGTACGTACAAATATATATATTACCAATTTCCGTGCAACCAACTCTGTCCTGTTGTTTCCAGTTTAGTCTTTCTATATTTCTCGTGTTTCATGTGTTCCTTGGCCTGGTTTTGTGAAGCAGTTAGGTTATTTTCATAGTGTGTGACCTGTCCATTTCCACCGTTTCTTCCTGATTTCTTTCTTCACTGTATAGGCTGCCTAAGAAAACTTAATTTTATCATGCTTTTGGATATAATTGTTTTCCATGGACTTTCATTAGTGCATAATATTTCATGTTGATTTTTGAATAAACTCAATAAAATGATTATAACTGCATGCAATAAATGATGAGGATTGTTTTTGAAACCCAATGTTAAAAATTGATATTTAATCAAACAAACAGAAACATAAAAAATAATTAATAATGACATTAAGTCTTACATGGTGGCTTTCCCTATGTCCACACATTATACACTTTCATGTATGCGGTGAAAGTGAATACAGAGTTTGCTTCTGGACATAATGTTGTATATACCACATGGTCAAAAATGTTTCAGCAGATTGTTTCATTCCTAGTTCAGCTAAATCAAACATTTAACGTTATGTTGTATGTTCCGTTTTTCAGAAGCATGAAACATGTCTTCCATCAAACTGTAAAAAGAGCTCGCTTATTCATATTTTGCAAATATGAGTGTTTCGAAACTGTATTGGATGTTTATGTGTAATGATTTTCAATAAATTTTACACATAAGCAATCTTTCTTCAACTGACTTTTGTTTCGCGTTCATTTTTACAACGTGATCTCGATGAATCACCATCAATTTTAAACAGAGTGAAGCTCAAAAATTGACGATTAGTTAGTTTTCTCTAGATGTCATATTTTCATATTAAAGTACATGTTGAATGCGATACTTGCCAACCCATAAAACCATCATGTCACCTCTTCAACGTCCATGGGGTTATGTATAGTCAACAAACAGAGCTATGTAAAAGGAACCAGACAAAAGCAGTTGAGCAGTGGAACGGAATAAGCGCACACAAAAGTCTACATGATGGTTGATGTGTTGAGGTTGTTCAGAATAATGTTTCTTGATTTAACCATGCAACTAGGTGAACGAAATTCTACTTCAATCCTCCTCCTACTGAGGCACCAGTGCTTTTCATCATCTCAAAACCAATAAAAAACATATGACTCCTACTGTTTCCATCTCAATGATTCACGATTTGTGTAGGGTTACGGATACAATATAAGTTCACTCATTCTCCTGTCAGCTTATAAATTATCAATCTTTTGGATACTAGTTAGGATTTCTTACTGAAAGCAATCATATGCATCCAAATAAATACGTAATCAGTATCAGGATATTGTTCGACACTAATCAGACAAAGTGAAACTGACTGTAAGGCAGTGCATCATAATAAAAGTAAATATTGTTTAAATCCGGGTTCTATAACTTCAGTGGATAAAAATATATTTGAAGCGCTTCTGAAGAGATGGAATTAGTTGAATGTTTCTCTTAACTCTGTAGTGAGATTGAACCTACTAATCGCGAGATTACCAAGTAAATCACGTTGAATCCAGAGTCAGAAAATAGACTGTACCTCGATGAACAGGTACACTGATTCGTGGTCTCCTGATATCGAAATGATATCAAGACCGCAATAAAGAAACAACTAACAACCATCGAGGAGAAAGTCGGAATGGGAGTTACGCGCTTGACGCGCGAGTACAACAGTAGAATTAAAGAAAAAGGAGTAAAATAGAACAATTATTGTTAGAATTGAGTACAATGATAAATGTTTCCATTTCAGCATTTATGTTCTGTTCGTAAAAGTATCCCACTACAACTTTTAAACTGATATAATTGTCACTTCACATAAAAACATAGAGTAGGTGAAAATGATTGAGTTACGTTTCGGTTTTAAAGTGAACTAAACTGAGAACGAGCAATTTTCGAAATTATCTATGACAATTTCCCCAAAGTTTCAAGTTTGATAAACTAATCTTAAGATCATAAAACAGGTGAAACAAGGCATAAATAGAAGCAATTATATTCAAACCAATTTATCGGTTGTCATAAGTGAGGTGGTAATAATGGTCGAGGAGGAATTAGTGAATATTTTTGTAAATGAATTAATGCTTTGTCTCATAACTACGATTGTGTAAGTAAACACAGTGTTATGCGTGCTGTCGTCGTAAGAATGACTGGTCAGAGACCTAGAAACACACAGTCAAATAATCAACAAAAATGAAATTATCCTAATGTATGACCGTTTTAGAAAGCGAAATTGTCATGAAATCGTCGTGAAAACAGATGCGAACAAGATAATGCAAACAAGGAACGTGATGTCATCTCAAACGATACTTACTGTAGCATACAGTAAACATAGCTCTGTTACAAAACAGCGAACTAAAATGCAAGCAACTAGTCAACCTCAATGTGTGTGAGATACCTAAAATTCCACAACAATATTCCACATCGGTCAACTGAACGCACAATGATTGACAACAGAATAGCCTTGAAATTATATGACAAAGATTGTTTGATAATCGATAAACATATTGATACATTCAAAGGATATGTTAAAGAACAGATTATGATGTGAATGTACGTTTTGACAATTCGAAAATGTAAAAACTCATTATGCATATAAGGACAATTTGCTGTAAGCCAAAATTATTATGATTGACTTCATAGCATTTTCGAACGTTCATAAATAAATTGGTCAGTTCACAGGCGACTAAAATGACAAGTGCTACTTTGAATTTGACGCAGTCACTAAAATTCACAGTCCTTCGATTGTCGACATCCAAATCAAGCGACTTCCTGTTTATTGCATGAATGAGAAACATCGAAAATATGAGGAGTTTAGAGACTTGAATTTTATTATCATTATTTTTACTTACTTATTATTATTTAAATTGTTTCTACATAAAAATTTTCGGACCACACTTTACACTTTTAAGAAGACTGCTGTAAACAACATGTCCCTAGAATGTGACAAAACAGACACCTACATGTTATTAAACATACTGGCATACAATACGACCAACTAAACATTTATAAAATGCACATATCTAAAGATGTGAGATAAAACGTAACCGCACAACAACACGAGGATTGCACAAATTTTGAGTGTAGTTTAACACAATACAGAGTGAACTATTACTATCCTCGAAGTACTTTTGATGAATTATTGAAAAGTGTTTCCACATGTGTGTTACATTCTCTTATGTGTATGAGTAATTTGTCGAATCCATTATTTTTCATAAATGTAGATTATTTGGTTGCTGAAATCATGAGTCAGTCATTGTATGATCACCGGTAGTAACCTGGAAGCGCCAAAATGATATTTCGTCATGATATAGGACTCAGCAGCAATGCACGTTCAAGACCTTTGCTGCTCGCACAATTCCAACGCAGTCTTACGCGCGAGCACTCGGAGCCTAGTTCACTTATCCCGCCTCCAACGGTGTTAATGTCCAATCTAAGGACTGTTTGCTTCGTCGCTCATTTTTCTGCCGTAGCTACTGCCTACACTTAAGATGGTTGAACACTACTTGTCGCATAATTTCACTAGAACGTCGAGAAAAACTCCTTATAAAGCTAGTCATTAGGTTCCACAAAATCACTAGATTGATCAGAGTTAGATATTTACACAGTTGCGTGCCGTTTCAGTGGTTTAGAGGATAGATGTTACCGCGCAATACCGAATGTCCCTGGTTCGAATGCTCACAGTCACAGGACTTATGTTAGCGTACCTCCGGTGAGTTACATACAAGGACGAAATGGCCAGCCAGTGATTCCAGCTTTTCTTGTGGTAGACTGACAATGATTGCTTCATGATATCAGTAATAAACCACAATCTTCATAACCCCATAATGAAAAATCATAATTAGTTAGCATAATTACAAATGAATCAATCTATCAGACATGTTGTACATGTGGTTGATTAAATGTTACCTTTAGAAAACATAAATTTAGATCTATTGTTGTTGTTGTTGTTGTCGTTGCTGTTGATGGCGAAGATTGTGTTGTCTGCGCGCATATTAGACAGTGATGTGTTTATCTCCATTTTCTTTTTCAAGCATTGAATGACTAACTAGTGCCTACTTTACTTACTTTCGCCTGTTACCATGAATGGAGCAGAGGCCTCCGAACAGTATTCTTCAACCAACTCTGTCTTAGGCTTCATTTTCCGGTTCTGTCTATTTTGTGTTCATTCTTCTCGTATCTTTTTCTATTTCTCGGAGTGATGTGTTCTCTTGCCTTCCTCTTTCTGTTTTGTTTTTGAGGGTTATAATTGAGGTCTTGTCTTGTGACGCAGTTCAGTTCTTTTCTTAATGTGTGTTCTGTTATCTTCCACCTCTTCTTCCTCATTTCCTCCTCCACTACGAAGTATTTTGCGTAGACAACTGTTAATAAACACTCGCATTTTCTGGATGATGGTTTTGGTAGTTCTGCAAGTTTCCGCTACAGACAGTAGAACTGTCTTGACATTTGTATTGAAAATCCTGATTTCGGGGTTGATCGATATTTGTTTGGAGTTGCAGATATTTTTCAATTGTAGAAATGCTGCCCTCTGCTTTTCAATGTAAGTACATAACATATTTGCAAGGGGTATTTTGGGAGAAAAAGGACATAAGATTGACGAGAAGGTGAACGTATAATTCATTAAAGCAGCGATTCATTACAAATATCTGGTAATACAATATATGTAGTGAAGGAGAACACAGGTGGGGCAACCGGATTGTATTTAACGAAAATTACAGAGTTACTCAGTAAAATCGGAAAACCATATCATAAATCGCTAATTTGCAAAATATCAGTTCATCATATCGAACTGGACTGTTCCTGTTGCAAAACATCAATCCATTGTCACTATTCATACGAATTCCATTGTGTTCTAACTGTTCCTTTCTTGATCTTCCTCCATCTTCTGCTGCCAGACATTTGTTGACACTCACGTCATATACTACTTATAAGTAGCTCACATCACATATATATTATAACATATTGCAGTGGAACACTTCTACGAAGAAAACGCAATTGGCTCAAAAGAAACCCTATATTATGGTTTTCCTCACGTTTAACTGTCATAAAAACACCGTACCGTGCTTGCTTCCAGATGTTGACGTCTTCGTAATCCAGTCAATGGATCTAGCAGTGGATATTCAATGTATTACTAAACTTCATGTACCACTGTCCTGATAAGCGTTACAATACAACACGGACCGTTATCACTATTTTTTGATGATTCAAAATATATAACAAATAGACGATTCTATGACTGAACTATGGAAAGAAGAATTCATCATTAAAGCTGACGTATGTATATTGTTCTATGGTCTAAGGATTAGTCAACTTAATAGTAGAACACATAGAATTCTTTAGTTTTGCCCAAATTATGTTTGCTCATTACCTTACATTTTCATTAATATTGATGTGATGTAGTCTGATTCGGATGCATATGAAGGGATGTCTGAAATATAATAACGACTCTGTATCTGGTAGTCACTGGATCGTGTTCTTGCCCTTTTAGTTGAGGCAAGCTAGTATTGGGACATCCTTTGATCATGAAGTAGCAAGTCTCTCGTCCCTGTTGCATATTAGTTACAGAAAGATAGTTTGCGTTTTGGTCATTGCAAGTACATAACATATTTGCAACGGGTATTTTGGGAGGAAGAGGAGATAAGATTGACGATAAGGTGAACGTATAATTCATTAAAGCAACAAGTCATTACAAATATCAAGTAACATAATATAAATTGTAACATATTGCAGTGGAACACGTCTACGAAGAAAACGCAATTGGAGAAAAGGAAACACTATATTATGGTATTCCTTA